TGGGACTGCGGGTCCTTCAAGGTCAGGCTCTGGGGAAGGGCTGAGAGCAGGTAGTGCCCGTGCAGACCGCAGCGGGCAGCCGCATCCGTCCGCACCACCAGTACTGGGAATTCGGTCACTATGGGAAAAGAGCAAGGTGAGGGTCTGCATCATAGCGCTGAGCCAGAGCCCACCCCAGCCCTATCACTGCCCCTGCACATACGGTCCTGCCAGGAGGAGTAAATGGAGTTCTCCTCCATGGGGACTGCGGGGCTAGGCTGGGTCCCGGCACTGCTCTGCTCCGTCGTCTTTGCACCCTGAAACAGAGGGATGTGAGCATGGCCCCAGACGGGGAAGCACAAGCCTCCCTGTCTGCCCACACACCCTGGAGCCCCTCGGCTCACCCGAGCCAGGAGCAGCACAAGAGGTCCTAGCTATGCCAGACCCCATGGTACCTGGAAGGCCAGCTGGCAGAGCTGGGCAATCCACTCGTCCCGCTGCTCAGCCGCCAGCACGTAGCTCTTCTCCGTGGTCGTGACATAGAAGGCAGTGGTGGCTTTGGGACAGCTCTCAGTGCCCGCAGGGCCCACGGAGACACAGTCTGAAAGGCGGATCACCCGGCGGGTACATCGCCGCAGGGAAGTCTTCTCCATCGCTGTGCCGTCATCCCGCACATCGAACTTCTCCATGCGGGCCACACCGGAGGGGCTGGCAGCAAAGAGCTGGGCTCGCATCTTCCTCCAGGACCTCTGGGGCATGGAAGGGCATGGGTAGAGAAAAAAAGGTCAGCAGAGAGCTGCCTGCGGCCTCCTGGCAGCACTGTCCTCTGCGTGGGGCTGGCAGTGCCCCGGAAGAGCCATACAGGGCAGGAGGGGCACAGGGGCGTCCCAGCATGCAGCTGCTAGGCACTGCAGGAGGGCACGGAGAGCCGGGGCCAGTGCAGACACGCAGAGTGGTGGGGCAGGGTGGTCCCAAATCGGGCCAAAGCCAGACCTTGCTCTGAGAGAGCTCGGCTGGGCTTGCCGGGTGAGCCACACTTTGCTCCCCGCTTTCCGAGCACCAGGTCCTGCTCTTTGCTCCCCGCTGCAAGCGCCGGCCTGCAGCTGAGCTGCCGAGCTGCACTCAGGACAGACCCTGATGCAAATTAATGCCATTTTGAGCTGCTGAGGCTCCTGGCAGCCTCCCATCTGCCGAGCACAGCCAGGCCCTGCAGCCCGCTTCCTCCCAGGGGAGGCTCTGCACCTTCCCAGCCCGTCATGGGGTGGAGGGGCCACGTGCCCCCACACACCTCAAAGGCGCAGCAGAGCCTCCACCTTGCCGAAACCAGATGCACCCAAAATACCCGCTGCCGCCAGCCTCCTACCCCGCACGGCGACCGCC